TTGATATAACTTTCCTTTTAATAAGGAGGCCATCTTGGCATTTGACCAGTACTTAAATACATTGTTCAGTAGAGTATAATGTAAGGGTGTGGTACAATAAATGAAAGGTGATTTCTATTGTTTTTGTCATCTTTATGTTCTTGTTCCATCAAAACAATTTATGTTTGACCTATTTGTTTCTCATTTAAGAGGGATGTTTAACAAAGAATGTGTTTAACTTTTATTTTATTAACGCATTTGGTCAATAATTAAATTATTACAGATTTTTCAGTAATGCCAAAAATGTTAAATATTTAAGCAATCATTAATAAAATGTAGTGAACAAATAACTAAGACTACCTCAGGCTGGCTGAGCATAGGACAAAGGAGTGGTTGCCATATGGATACTTAAACTGCATTCAAATTAGCTGCCAGAGTGTGTATAAGAACATTTGTATGAGGTCAGAATGCAACAGTCTTTGCCATAGAAAGAGGGGAAAAAAGGCAGTGATTGTGTGGCCACAGTGCTGGAATTAATGGGTCATCATATCTGAATGTGTGTGACTCTATCACCTCCTTCTGCCTTCCCATCTGTTACCCTGCTAAAGCAACAACTCTCCCAGATATTAAGTGTAAAAACATATCCTGCTTACATGCATTCACTGAAAAGTAATCAGTGTCATGCTCAAGTATGTCATCACAAGTGTCTGGCAGTTTAATAGGGAGTGCAACACACTGCTTTGTTCAGTTGACTTTATTCATACTCTGCCAAATCACAACAATTGTCACCACAGGACATTTTACATAAAAACATAAGGGTCTGAATCTTATTAAGTGAAAATGTTCTCCAAACAGTCAGTTTCCATAGAGTAAGATGAGCGACAGGGAAGTTGGGCAAAGAGTAATTTTCAAAAGATTATAAAAGACATCCATTAACTGTACTTTCAAGATTTAAAGAAGAATCTTGTCCACCTAACCTTCCAGCAGCGTAGCCTAATAGCAGCATACCCAAATGTATGGCTCACTTTAGCCTGTCCTAATTAACCTACCTGTAATTAAATAACCTGCTGCTGGACAACAAAGCACTTTTTTAGCACTTTATAACTATCAGATCCTCAGTAAAAGATCAGACTTGGTCATTTGGAGCTTCAGTATTAAAAAGAAAAGGTTTAAAATAAGTTGTCTTGATATTATAAAAGGAACTCAATAATTAGAGAAATATGAGCTCATGTTTTATATTCCATTAGACTCTAGCTGCACCTTTTCAGCTGAATCTTTCCTAAGGAGTAAATTTTTTTGTTTTTCTGGTGCTAATGCATTACACTAGTCCAAAATAAAAGCTAAACATGGATTAATAACTTTTTAAGAAGTCCATTTAGGCAGGGTGTTCCAATGTCAAGTGATTCTAAAACTGTAAAAAAAAAAAAAAAAAGAAAAAAAAAGGTTTCTCCCTCGCATGAATGCAGAGATTGGGTTTAGAGCCAAAGACTGTAGTTTTCAGTCTTGTCCAAATTGAACATGTCCATGTCTTTATAATTTCTAGATACACCTGTAGAGTATATGATGTACCTTTTTCCTCATTCTACTTGTGAACAGTCTTGTTGAGGTGGAAGCCATCTTCAAACTGGTCCCACGAAACTGGAACTAAGGGGCCAAGCCCAGCTCATGAAACACAACACAATCCTGCCTCCACTGCTCTTGAGTCCTGCTGTGGTCGCATGCATGCTTTGCACCGCTGCATCCAGCTGGGTGATGTTTGCCTCGGATGCAGCTGTTCTGCCATTGGAAGAAATTTCACGAAGCCCTTGATGCATTCTTCTTAAGCTAATCTGAAGAACACAGAGTTCATCTGGACCATGGACGTCAGCATCTGCTGCCCAAACTCCATTGGGGCATGTGACATACCACTTGGAGGCTGACTTGGTTTCAATCACAGTAGCTTCCACTTAGTTAGAATACCACTGACAGCTGATCGTGGAGAATATGTGGCATCCCATTACAGTACTAACCCAGATTTCACCAATTTAGGAGCAACACCTTCTTTTAGAAGTGTTTGTTAAATTAGTCTTGATGTGTAGGTGCTGGATTTTCTACCTTTGACCATGGATGTGATTAATACCCCTTATTTAATTATGCGGATGGGTGAGCCACTACCTGTGGTAATGCAATGTTTGTAAAAATGTTCAAACTCTGTAGAAGCACACTTTGATCCATTGTATTGCAGCACTGAGATATTGCAAGACAAGTATAGACACAATTCCATTAACTGTAGCTAAAAGAACCTCATTTGCAATCAAGGCACTGGCATATTAAGCTTTTTAGCTGCCCTTCTAATAGTTCTAAACAGGGAGCAATCATGTAAACATGCGCTGGCATGTTTACTCTGAAGAATAAGCTTGTTTAGCTCTTTAGGCTGACCTCTCTGCTCCTACCCTGGAGGCCTTTTTCCATCCCACATGACTCTGAACTGATCTTTTAACTCAAGGACGCAGAGGGAGGCGTATGCAGGACTGTGCTCAGCCGGCTGATCTTCAAAATCCAGCTGCACTTAGTAGCAGGTCAACACTGGTCACATAATAAGATACCAGGGTATTGATCCGACTTGTTAGACAATGCATGGCAAGAAATGAGTACATGCACATTAAAGGAGTAATGGGAAAAGGTTTTTCCAATCACGAGCCTCACATTTAACCAAAGAATGCATATAAATGCCGAGATGAAAACATTCTTCCACTCGTTGTGGGTCCTGCAAATGTAGATTTGTATCGTATTCTTTTTATGCAGTGCTGATCTTGTTCTAAAGCCTATTGAGGCTGTCTTCTTCTATTTAGGTGTATGTAGGCCACATAGGAATGTTCTGTGCAGCCACAATGCCTTAATGAATGGCGGCTCCGATCTGAGCACGCTGGGCGCCAGCATCAGCAGGCCTTTGTTCACCACTCCTTCTGTGTTTTAGTTGTCTGTTTGTTTGTTTTTTTAGTTTTTGTTTTCAGCTATGTGTTGGTCGTCTAGAAACTACATACATCTTTCTAAGCAATCAAGCCCACAGTTAGCCCAGATGAAGTGAAGGTCTGTGTATGTTTCTGGTCAGAGGGTTTGGTTTGCATACCAGCCCTCAGAGGCTGTTTGCTTCTGCTTCCTCGAGTCCCCTTGGACCCCCTGCCCCCAACACCTCCATCAGAATGTCGCAGCTAATCCGGATCCATGCAGCAGGAGCTTTTTTCTGTGGGGGGGTGCATACAAACCTTAGCTGTTTATAGCCATGTCCAAGCTCTCTATATCTAGTGTGTAATAAGCCCTGCCTTATGTACCGTGACCTTGTATGTGGACCGTTTTTGTATGTTACCCCTCTCTCTTTCTTTTGTTTATACCTTTCTGAATTCTTCCCCTGAAGAGAAGGGGACACAGTCCATCTTACCACCTCTATCTCTCTCTCTCGCTCCTTTTCATCCTGCTTTTATTTAACCTACAGCTGGCTAAGAGACCCCTTCCTTCATGTTTTGTATTGGGCTGTCTCTCTCCATTTGCAGCAGCAGTTCACAGCCTTGTAGGAGGAGTTCCCTGAGAGGGATGTGCGTGACCGGCTGGCTGAGAGCGATTCTTACGTATGCTTCTGCAGAGCCAGCTGAGGGAGACTCTGTTTTAGCAAGCCCAGCTCTTATGGAGTGTGAGTGTGTGTGTGTATTCTGCACCTCTGTCCTTGTGCAGACCTGGGATGTTTAATTAGAAAAGAAAGAGAAGTTTCCATCTGCATTTTACCTCAGCTCAGGTTGATACTGAATCAAATATTTAGAGGCTTCAAGGTTAGAAGCAGAGAGGCGCTGCCCATCAGTGTGCTGTCAAGGGAATTTTTAATGCTGCTGTGAATCTCGTGACCTAATGTGGGATTTGGGGGGGGTTTCTCTTGGGTAATGAAGGGAGATACCAAAATCACCCCTCTGTCATTGCCTAAAATTCCCAGTATATATACATCACTTTTAATCGTAACAATGGATACACTGATCAGGGATTTATGACAATGTTCACTTTTTAAAAATCCTTAATATTTGTGCATCACCAATCCAATTAGCGTAACGCAAGAAGAAGAAAGAGGAAAACTGCTTTTTCTCATCAGACGCCAGAGAAAGCATTCACTCTAAGGCAGGATTGAGCTTTTCTTTAAGCAAAATCAAAGTGATTGTTGAGTCTTTATTAAGTTGTAATGTGTGTGCGTCTATCACAGTCTGCAAAGGTAAAACAAATTATTAAATTAGATTTATCCGAGGTTTTGCAATCAGTTAAACAAATATGTTTTCATACTGCATCAACCCTCATGTGTCCCTCTCAGCCTTAATAAACATCAATAATATGTAATTATTGATGTAATTGGTCTGGAAGAGTGTTTTCAGCCTGGTAGTGTTACCGTATTGTTCTTTAACTCATTGGATTCTTTCTACATTATTACCTTTCAAAATTAGTGGATTTTTCCATTGCAGTCGCTTTCCAACCTGTTTTTTTTTTTAGCCTGTTTTGGTTTTAGGGGTTGAAGGATCAGACCCTTCTTCCCAACAGCCCCACCCACATTACAGCAGCAGGGTGGTTCACTCCGTCCTGTACTCTGTTTTTTTGTATCGGTTGGGTTTTGTGAATGTTGTCTGATGATTATGAATGAAGTCATTATCAGTTCTGCTTGTTCTGGTGTTTATGTGAAAGAAAGAACTGCATGTTGCTTCTCCCCAAAGCTCAGCCCACTGAAAAGGTTATTCGCTTAAAGCGGACAAACTGGAAAAGTTGTATCATTCCCTGCCTTCCTCCACACCCCTTCCCCAAACAAGACTCTTCAGTTAGTGAAATGACCCCATCCCATTCAGCAAAAACAAAATACGGGTGAATGGCTGTTGTTGCTAGGGAACCGTTTTTTTTTATAACTGCCCCTTAATCCCTTATTGAATCAGCTCCCAGTTATCCACCTTCCTCCAGCTGTTTCCTTGTTTTAATGCCTGCTTCTTTTCTCATTATGTTTACTTTTTGGTTTGTCTTAGATGCGACAGAGGAGTTTTTCGAGTATGATGCCGAGGAGTTCCTGGTGTTCCTGACCTTGCTAATCACAGAGGGAAGGACACCGGAGTATTCAGTAAAAGGCAGGACTGAGGGGCTGCACTGTCCTCCAGCTCAGTCAGGCATGCCTCCTCTTCACAAGCATGAATGCAGTGACAAACTGCCTCAGGTACCAAACCCGACACAGTTTTTAATTTCTGTATTTTTTTGATCTGGATAGTGGAGAAAATATGCTTTTCCTTCTCTGTTTAAATTTTTCATTTCTCTGTTTCTCTAGTCTTAATAATGTCCTTTCCTCACTGCTTTTCTGTTTTTTCTTTCAGTCTTTCTTCCCTTTCCTACTGTTTTTCCAGTAATGTTATTTCCTTTCCTGTGAACCTTAAATTGAGTTGATTTGAAAATCCCAATATAAGCCAATCCAATACTACCACAAACCCAGCATATCCATTAAGTTGCTCTTTATTGACTGAAATCTCCCTGGAACCCCCTCTGCTCTGTGTCTGTGTCATTGATGACTCCCAGTGAACTCTAACCTTCCTATCATGTGTTTCCGCAGTGCCGGCAAGCGAGGCGCACTCGTTCTGAGGTGATTTTGCTTTGGAAAAATAACATCCCCATCATGATCGAGGTCATGCTGCTGCCAGACTGTTGTTATGGTGATGAGTGTCCCCCAAGCGACCCCATCAGTGACCCAGTCATCAAACAAGATGCTCTGCTGTTGGAGAGGTGGACCCTACAGGCTGTTCCTAGACAGTAAGGAGCGCACGCCCACCCACACAAACACAGTTGGATCAGCTGATGGACTGTTTAGGGAAGCTCCACATATTGTTGTATCGCCGCTAAGGAGCAAGAAAAAGAAAAGTACATTTAAAGTCCTTCTAGAGGTGCAATATGCTGAAACAAGGAAAAAGGAAATGTTAATGTGGAACTTTTAAAAGCACAAGTTAAAATATAACTTAAGCCTGAGACCAGGAATCGAAGCTGTGACCTTTACACAGGACACCAGCTTAGCCCCTGAACCCTGCCATGCTCCAGTTACACCAAACATCTGAAATGATCACCTATCAGGTTCATTAAAACTTCTATTACCATTACATTTCTTCTATGATGATGCTGGTTTGTTCCTTTGATCTATATTCAGAAATCTAATCTGTTTCTTTGGCTTTAACAGGCCAAATATATGGATTAGATTAACAGATTAACCTATTTCCATTGTCATTGAGAATCTACTCACTTCTTCCTTTTAGGCTCAAATAAATCTAGATTCCAGCTGAAGCACAATCACCTGAGCAATAATTATCCAATGCTAAGCTCTAACCCACTTGCTTCATTACATCCAGGTTAAGGCTTTACTTTTGGACAGGCAGTGTAAAGTGGATTGGTGTAAATCCACACCTGTTCATGAATGACCTTGGCTTAATCAAAGTTCAGAACTAAATACAATCTTTAACTAGATTTAGAAAAATAAATAAATACATAAAAAATGTACCTCAACCAATCTGAATGATTTTATGTTAATTTGCAAAGAAAAATGCAAAGAATCTGTTTCTGCTGGTGCTCAAAGCTGCCAAATTGGTACTTTGAGATTTCAGCTGTAACTGTTGTTGAGCTTGGTGCACAAAGTATGTCCTATTTTTTTTTTTTTGTTGTTGTATTTGTTGTTGTTGCGGAAAACCAAATAGCATTTTACTTCCACATCCTACACAAAACACTTTAACCCCTAATTGCATCACTTAAAATCTCAATAAGATACAGTAAATTTTGTAAATGTGAAAAAACAGCACTATAGATAATAATAATAAAAATGCATTTTTTTTTTAAAGGCACCATTTAGAGCCCACAGTGTCTCCTTGCATAAATCCAAGCAATAAAGATGAATCTCTTCTCCTGAAACATAAACAGCTCTGACTCTGTTCCTTTAAGCAGGGCAGAGGGGCGTCATTTGGTTACTGCCACTGGAGAATCGACAGCACCTCCTTTGGGTCCTTTGTGATGCATGGATGGGACTTATTCCTGCTCATCCCACGGATATTTGATTGGTTTGGGAGCTGGGGAGTTAGAGGGAAGATGACAGCCTTTATGTTGTGTTCCTAAAGTTATCCTTCAACAGTTTTAAGAGATTGTTGTTGCTGTCAGACAGTGTTATTATTGGTTTTAACCAGCTGGAAATATGGCCCCAAAAATGTATTTTTTTACCAAAATGGGTTTTTGCAGATATCTTTTTCATCACAAAATGCATTAAAAAGTGGAAAAATCATAATTTCCTTCATGTGGTTCATGTGGGAGGTGGGGAGTGGGATAATTGGCCTTTCAGATTGGCCCACTTTCCTACTAACACATGTACAGACATTGTCCTTTGACGGAAAAAACACCCCCATCCCTGGACCGTTTTCTCATTAACCTGACAAACTGGCACACTTCCAACACTTCTTGATCAGTTTGTTTTTTTCTTTTAGAAGCGGTGATCGTTTCATTGAGGAGAAAACCCTGCTATTGGCTGTGCGCTCCTACGTCTTCTTCTCCCAGCTCAGCGCCTGGCTCAGCGCCTCCCATGGCATCGTCCCCAGAAACATCCTGTACAGGTCAGATAATATAACTCTCACTGAACAGATGGGGTTTAGCCTCTTTAGCTCCACTGTTAAAGTTTCTGTGTCTAAAGGAAGAGTTTGAAGATTCAGAGTAGACCTTCACAATAACTGCCCTTCTCAGTTAATTATTTTTATTTCAGTAGAAGGGCAAATAATAGTATGCATCACACAGAGTGATTTCAATAATTTCATATAGGGATTATTAGCTGATTAAAAATCCATAATGTTAATGAAAAAAAAGGATTTTCAATGTTTTGGCCACAATGAAGCACAAGACCGAAGTCCTTAATGGGTCATTCCTGAGGATGCTTTAGTTTAGAGTTCTGCTGGCTAGTATTAATGGAAAGTTTAGTGTTAGGAAAAAAAGATAGTTGCAAAAGACTTCAGCAACTGAAATAACCAAGGATTTGAGATGATTATGAAGCAAACCCCGATTTTTCAGAGTAGGTTGGAAGAGAATGAGTATAAACTAGAGCTGCAGATGCCACATATAGATCCATCCCACAGTAGGGTTCTTTCTATCAAGCTAATGCTGAACCAGAGGGGATATCAGATGGCTTTTAGCTCAGCTAAAGGGGAAATAAATGAGAAATAAGCAATGCTGTCATTAAATTAGCTGTAGCTGTTGTTAATCAGGAGCGTTCACGTTTCCATAGTGTTAAAGCTCCCCTCTGTGCTCCACAGGATCAGTGCTGCGGATGAAGACTTGGTGTGGCAGTTTTCCCAGCCGCCATCAGAGCACATTTTTCCTGTCCCTAACGTGTCCCAGAGTGTTGCCCTGCAGGTCCGTGTCCAGTCGCTCCCCCGCCAGCCCACCTATCCCAACCTGGCCTGTAGCATCCACACCGGCCTGCCTCCCATTTACAGCAAGACCCCCAGCCTCAGCCCGACCCTCAGTAGCCATGGTGGCCTGCCCACCCTGAAAAAGAGCCAGGATCCCAGCAAAGACAGCCTCCATCCCAACTCAAACATGTATGCCAAGAGCTCCAACTCCCCCTCAAGCCTTCTACTCAACGGATTACCCATCCCTAATCTGCCCATCAACAACATCTCGATTAACAGCCTTTCTCACTCTGCTGTGTCACATCCATACAGCAAGAAGAGCCAGGAGCCCAGTGAAAATCCCACCTATCACAACGGAGAGCTCCCACAGGTCAACACGCCCCAGCGTCAGGCTTCTTCACTGCTCTACAGAGCCTCTCACTCCCCAACACCCTCCCGCTCTAACTCCCCCTCCCCTCTTCCCTCCAGCAAAGCAGGGAAGTGGTTGTACTCTGCCCTCAATGGCTCGTCTGATCCTAACCAGGTGGATGACTATAGCTCTGGTACCACCAACGCTGAGCAGAACAAGGCTCCCATCCCAGAGCCTTTACGGAGTTTCAAGAACTTATCCATGGCTGAGCCGTCCCGGTGCCCCTCCCCGAGGCCTTCCGGAAACGAAACAAATCCCTTGATTGGCTCCCTGCTGCAGGAGAGACAGGAAGTTATAGCGCGAATCGCACAAAGACTCAACTTCTGCGACCCGACAGCCCCACCACTCCCCCCTGGCCTGTTTGCGTCTGACAACCCTCACAAAGCCATGTGGGGCGGTAACCATGACGACAAAGCCGCCAGCAAGACCAAAGAAGCCGAGGTGCACCCTTACGAGTCCGTGGGACGTGTGAGGCCAGCCCTGTTCAACTCTCCCGTGACGGAAACCTGTTTTGTCAAACGAGAAAGTTCCTCCCCGAAACCCGCCGCCTGCAGGAAGCTGAGAATGAGCGAGGCAGCGGACAGAGCGGAGGAGAGGAACGGGGATCTAAAGGACAGAGAGAAGGACAGAGACAGCTCCCTCATCGCCCAGGCAGTGCAAGACATCACCAGGCTCATTCAGGAGAGGCTCTCTGTCCCATCTTTGTCCCGCAGCACCAGCCCACTGCACCAAGTGCACACAACCACAGTCACACACACCATACGCACATACTCACACCCCCCGCAAGCAACGCAACCCGCCAGCAATGGCTACACCAATGGCCACGTACCCAGCCATGAACCTCAAAGAGGCAACACGCACAACGCTGCCTCGCAAATGCCCGTTTGCACAGACAGGCCCCAAGCTGGACCGAGGACCGAATGTCATTCTTCCCGGGCCCAAAATGGTGCTCAGTTTACACTTGAAGAAACTTCCCTCAACAGCCAGGCCGACCCCGAGCCAGGCAGGCGTTTACGAATCAGGACACCCAGCAGCCATGAAATCCCCCCTGTCTCCCCCATCCTGGAGAACAGGCCAAGGAATGCCCAGATCATCAGCTGGACTAACCACGACGCCAGCCCAGCTACAAACTGTTTCAGAATCAGTGACAACAGCAAGCCTCAGACACAATCTCAGACACAGGCACAGAGCATTGTGCCAGCTCAGGCCTCTGCTCTCCAGGATGAGAACCAGGCCCCCTCAGAGTCTGGGTCCTTCACATCCAGTCCAGAAACAACTCCATCACCCTCACTCCTCGTAAGCTCTTCTGGTTTCTTCATGCAATAATCCCAGGTTGTCGTTCTTATCGTAGCTCTGCATCATTCTCCATCTGTAGCATATTTCCCTTCACCCAACGGGCTGCATTCATGACTCTTCATTCCCTTTTTGCAGCGTCCTCACAGCCCCTCCCCCTTGCGTCCCTGCAACAGCTGGAAGAAGCAGAATCGACACTCTTTGGATGCCACGGCAACAAAGGCCTTCCACCCCTGCACTGGCCTGCCTCTGCTCTCCAGCCCCGTAAGAAACACACAGCTGCCCACTCATGTACAGTAAACCTCAGACCGTGTAGATGCAGGCATGCAGAGCAGTCAGCGCGGGCGTCCATGCATTGGTTTTTATTAAAACGACAATGCTCTTTCTTACTAGCCAAATGAAGCATAATATCTGCATCATAAATCCATCCGGAAAAATGCTACAAATGCCAAGCACACTAAGCAGGTTTTTTTTATTGGTATCAAAGTGTGCAAAGGTTTTTAAAAGGGATACTTTCAAAACCACTTAAACGTTTTTTTTTTTATACATCTAGTACCAGGCTCGGATTGGGAACGATCCCCCCCACCCCATTAAAAAAAAAAAAAAAAGAAGAACTATAGTCAAAAGCCTGCGTCTCAAATGTGAAACACAAAACGAATACATATCGTGGATTAACTGATCTATTTTCAAGCATCATACTACAAACATCAACGAGACTATAATGTGGTTTCATTGGCTTTGGTTATTAACACGGATGCGACAGTGACTTCAGCAGGGTTGCCAGGTGTCACTGACTCACATTTTCCAGCCCAAAAAATTTTCATAAATCGCCTGGAAATACGAAATCTCGCCCAATTTGGAAAAAGATTAGGAAACATCCCAACCTGGCAACAATGCACGTAAGACGGGAAACATTAGCCTTTAGATGCAAAACCCCATCATGCACCGCAAAGTATTTTTGCAAAATATTGTAACATAAATTTGCCAAATATAAGAGGAGTATCGTAGTTTGGTTTAAAGAAAGCATTTTAGTTTTATTATAATTTAGTTTGTTGCAAGGATTCTACAGTTTGAAGAAATAGAAAATGACACCATATGGCAACTGTCACAAGGATGTGGATGACCAGGAAGGGCTATATATACTGCATGCATCATTTAGGTATTTAACATTGCATTACTTCTTGAGCTCCTTGAGTTATTTACTGTCACAGGTAGGTAGGTGCTTCAGCCGGAGAGTAAGTATTGTGGCCGGTATGATTTAAGGAGGGCCGGCCCTCGCACGCTGAAATTAGGACCAGCCCGCTGGGCAAATGCGCGGTATCACAGATTACCAGTTCGAGCCTGTTTAGTACCATTAAAGCCCTTAAAGTTGTTTGAATCAGCACTATCAGTCAGCTGCACCAAAGAAGCTGCATTTTCCCCCAAGATTACAAGTAGGACAAATTAGGATTTTTGAATAAATCTTGATAATTGTAAAACAGTGACATTCTACTAAAACAGCACCACCCATCACTGTCATTAATATTAATATAATGCTCTCTGTAGCTGCAGTTTGGAAGCTATGAGCAGTGTGTTAGTCAAGCAGCCAACTGTGCGCTGACTACCAGAGCAGATGGTCTGAGTAATTAACCAGCTAATACCAGGGTGTTTGCCTCCATATTAAAGAGCAGAAATATCAAATTGTTGAATTTTATCTTAAACTTTTAAACTGTTCTAAATGTAGCAGCTGTTTAGATGCAGTTATCCTATTGATTATAAAAAAATAATTTAAAAAGAGGTTGAAATCCTTGGGATGTGAGCGATTAATCGGATCGAACCAAAACTAAATGCTGTGGTTAGTTTGGTAGAGGCATGTATTTTATAAAAAAAAATGTATTTTATGTATAGAAAACAAAATTTTATAGGCATCAAAAGTAAAACCGTTAATTATTTTGGTAGAATTTTAAAATATAAGTCTTTATCCTAAATGTATGCTTAACTCAATGTATATAAAAACATAATGGACAACATTAGATATCATAAAAATTCTTAGTTATAGAAAGGATGACTCTTTGAAGCTAAAAAATTTTTTTTTTAATGTTTGAGTTAAATGGAGAATTTCTACCAGCCCATGTCTAGTAAACTCAGAATTCCTCCTAGATATTATAAGGAAAAAGCTTTTTTTTTATATTTTTCTACATTTTCATAAGAGGCTGTAAAATCACACATCCTAACTCGCGCTTCACAAAAGGTCAACTGTAAAGAAGTTGAACTTATTTGCTTCTGCTTTTTTCCAGCACAACTCATCTGCAGATCAGGTTCACTATTTTAAAATGAAAGAAGTTGCATTAAACTTGCTCTTGGTTTAACAGAGGCGACATCAGCTGCTCTGTTTTAATCGTGTTCTGTCTGCCTGCTGCAGGTTCCTCAGAGGAAAAATCAAACAGGTTACTTTGACCTGGACACCTCTCTGACTGGCTGTAAGGGTTTGCCTTGGGCCTCTGGGAAAAGGTACACATTTTCTCTTCTGGGATCTCTATTAATGCAGTTGAAAAGCTCAGTTTCTCCACCAGGTCAAGGTCAGATTAGGTGTTTGTATCTGATCCTGTAATAACAGATACTGTCCATTTGATCTGTCAGCTTTCATGCAGTCTGCAACTGATTCCTTTCATCTCAAATTGGAACTTGAGACTTTTGTTCCAAATCTGTCCAATGTGAGCTCTGCATTTAAAATTAAACATCAGAAACTACATTTGCTGCCCTTTTCTATTTGCACCTTTAGTAGCAGTAGTCTCACAGGGAAGCCCCAGCATAACATCCACCGTCAGGCTGTACTTGGGACTGTAAAAGAGAGTGGGTGGAAGAAGTGGTTGTCTAATTAAAAGATAACAGGCTTTATTGGTATTATTATGAAATGACACATTTTAATTAATCCAACAACCCTGTTTCATAATTACAAACATAGCCCACCTCTTCTCCAGAGATGCATGCTTTAATGCGACTGCCGTATGCTAACTGTAAGGCAGTGGAGCAAACAGAATGCAGTTTGATTAATAAGTCTGAATGTCTAGAGTTGTTTAAAAAGTTTGGTCGCCTGGTTCACTGGAAATGAGAATTTAATGATCATTTAGGGTTTTTTGGGGGGATTTCGTCCATTATGGCCTAAAAATACAACTTAGAAATTCAGTGAACTACAAAAAAAAGAGTTAAATGCACTATTTCTGAATTTATTTAGGAGTTTCCTCATCTTCACTGATCAAAAAAATTATAAGTGTCCCAATATAGCTATTTAATTTAAGATTGTAATTTTTTTAAATATTTTATTTAAAAATACCTGTATTGCAGCTTTGTGAATTGAACGATACCAATATTGACTCAATACCAATATGAGCACAAGTCATATATTGTTTTATTACTTATTTCTTGTAGTGTAGAATGTTATGAAAGGTTTAATCCAGTGATATAACTAACACAGAGAAAAATAGTCAACAACAGTAGGCGCTTCTATCAGCATCACAATATCAGAGACTTTAGATGCAGGCCGATATAATCTAATATCAGTTCTTTGGCTAATATCGGACAGAATAACGATATTAATATTGGATCTGGACCCCCCTTCAAAATAAGTAATTTAAACCTAACAAAACTGAACCAACTGTAAGCTATAGTGGTGGCAGCATCATGCTGAGGCTGCATGTGACACCGGTGTATCACACAAAGTAATTAAATACCTCCAAATGCTTAACATCAACTGAAATTTAAAATAACGGTTAAATTCTATTCTTAATATATTTTTTATTCTTAATGCACCTTTTACCTCCTCATTTGCACCTTCTTTAATTACTATGCCAATATGTGACCAGTGAATTTCTCCGCTGTGAGATCAATAAAGCTCATCTAATCTAATCTAAAAAAATCCTGGGATAAAAGTTGGTGTTTTTTTTTAACAAGGCAGTGATCCCAAATGCTTTAAAACTGATGCAGCAGGAGGACATTAAGATCCGGAGAAGCCTCTTTTAAAACCAAAAAATGTTAAATGTGCTTTGCCATTTCTGATTAGAAGAGAAGCTGAATATCAAATGTTATGTTTCCAAAGAAACCTGATGATGGATATCTAAAGAAATATTAGTTAGGCTGTAGTTTTATATTTAAGCTCTTGTAGATAATTTTGATCAATTAAAGATGAGAGTAGATACACAAAATCATTCAAATTTTACACCTAATTCTTACTAACATTGATTAAAGTTGCTTGTAAACAAAGCCCCAAGTGAATTCACTGTGTATAAACTCCTAACTGTATGATCATTGTCATTTAATCAGAATATTAGCCATCTATTAATAACCATAACACCAACACTGCTCTGGGCAGACATCAGCATGTGGATGACCTCCGTTTCTATGGATAAAGGGAAATCTCCTTACTGTGCTAAAAAATAAAGGTCTGCTTAGCTATGGCTAAAGCTACCATTGTACACATTCATCTGTAAATGGCAGTCAGAACTAAACTGGCTTTATATCCAGAGACTCATGCCTCTGCCTACACAGAGGAGATGTGGGTGGAAGCTCAGTGCTGTTCATTTGAGAGCAGATGTTTAAGGAGTTTAGGATTCCGGGTTAAAGGTTCATTTCAACCATCACACCGTGTCCGATCACCTGCTTAGAAATGACGAGCTATTTAAAAATGTGAGTGGGACAGGCTGACCTTGTTCTTCTGGTGGATCATGCAGCTGTTTGCAAACAAATAGGTGAGCCTGGGGTGATATTTCATAGGAATGTTTAGACCTGGCAGGAGTGTTTGTCATTTAAAGCACAATGAGATGCTCCTACATCAGACCTTGAGAACCAGTTGATCAAGCATGTGTGGGTTTTAACCCTTTAGGGTGTGTCCTAAGAGAGAGGAGAGCGCTGATGAGTCGCATCAGCTGTTCAGCACTAGCGCTCCTCCTGCCAGCCTAAGCCTGCTGGGGAACTTTGAGGTGAAACATCATCAGTGTCCTTCTGTAAAACATTTCATAGTTCACATTAAATGCTGATTATTAGATTTGTACTTTTGTATAACTTCAAGTTCTTCTTGTTTAATGTTGAACTGTTCTGTAGGAGTGTGTGTTGAACTATCGACTTGAGCCTTTAGGGACAGTAGAAGGTTTCGCAGCAGAGGTGGGAGCCAGCGGCTCCTTCTGCCCAAGTCACCTGACCCTACCAGTAGATGTGTCATTCTACAGCGTCTCTGACGATAACGCTCCCTCGCCATACATGGTGAGCTGTTTTCTTTTCTTTTCTTGTTCATCCTGCATGGCTGAGCTTAAAGATGAAACTGCCTTCCGTTCATGTTGTGTGTGTGTGGGGCATGTGTGTGAGCTCCTTCGGTATGGCTGCTGGTGACATCGTGATTGTCGTGTGTTCTCTCACAGGGTGTGATAAACCTGGAGTCCCTGGGAAAAAGGGGCTACCGTGTACCTGCATCAGGAACCATTCAAGTGGTTAGGAATTTTTTTTCCCCCACAGTTTCAGAAATGTCATATATATGTTATTTCCTGGCTATATTGCAGAACACACACAGGCACCAAAGAAAGAACAACTAAACAGAAATTGGAGTCACCTAGTGGCCATAAGGGGAACTTCATCCTCTAAGGTCCAGGGTTCATAGCTCTGCAAAGGCCTTGGTTACACATTCACAGTTGGCACCTATATTTCTATATTCAAATAGATTTTACTTGCGGTGTTTAAAAAATATGTACAACATGTATTTCACTGACATAGATGGAATAAAACCACATTGGCTTAATTGCCTAGTAAATCCAAAACAACTTCACATAGGGCCAACATATTGTGAGTGGCAAATGAAACAGTTATGCATTTAAAATGGGTTTTCTAAAAGACAGATACACCTAAGTTTTTTTTACATACATTTTAATGAATTATTTCTTTATTTGGTTTTATGTTAGTTTTACTGATCAATAAGACAAATCAATCAGAAAAGCAAAGAGGAAACATTTAATTAAGCCTCAACTTATTACTGACAAAAAAATCAGCCTAACCAGTTCAAATAATTTAATGATGTAATGCATTTTATTCTATTTTTGATTTGTGAAGAAAAATGTATTTTAGGGATGTTGCTGCTGTATTTATAATTAGCATAATTATGACATCATGAGCACGTTAGAGTCTACATTCTGTTTTGGTTATGGCCTTGAAACACTGTGCTCAAATAGATGTAAAATTATAAAAAATACATATAAAGCTGTTCCAAGAAAAACATCCAGGTAAAATGCTCTAGTGTTAGCCATTCTGTGTCGCATCTGTACACATAAGCAGACAGCTTTACCCAGCAATGTGCCACTCACAATATGACTGTGTTCTGTCAGGTGAGCATACCCATAGTCAATACCCGTTTAGCCGTTTAGTTTTTCCTGATGGTTTTGTATGAAAAATAAAACTTCAAAATACCTCAACAGGCATGTATCCCTTTAGTCATGTAGAAAAAAAATGTAATTACTTACTTTTTTATGTTCTTTTTAAGCTTATGCCGAAAATTTTTTTACATAACTTAAGGTAAACACAGCCATTGAGTCTATTTTTCGTACAAAACTAAGGGATAAATCTGACGTCTTGCTCATGCGCATTGACTATTGGTATGCTGGTCTGGCAGAACACCGGCCTCATTGATGTACCATCTGGATCCAGGATCTATTTTCTATATCTATGGCGTACCCTGCTTAGATTCAACCCTCATAGGATCCTGGAAGGTCCACTGACCCCTGCTTGTCTGTCTGACTGCGTCCCTCAGACCTTATTCAACCCCAACAAGACAGTGGTAAAGATGTTTGTTGTGATGTACGACCTAAGAGCCATGCCAGCTGGACACCAGACCTTCCTACGCCAGAGAACCTTTTCAGTTCCCGTTCGCCGCGACGCCAACAATCAGATCAACAGGAAGCCCCTCACCCCAGGCCAAGGCTGCACCCTGCGCTACCTCATCCATCTGAGGTCTGTTACCGTCAGGGGAATTTAACCAGTTTTATTAGTTGCTTTTTTTTTTTTCCTCATCTTCTCTTGTCTCATCACCACCAGGTTCCAGAGCTCAAAGTCTGGAAAGCTCTACCTTCATAGAGACATCCGTCTATTGTTCTCCAGGAAGTCCATGGAGGTGGACAGCGGTGCTGCCTACGAGCTCCAGTCCTTCACAGAGTCCCCCATAGACCCTCCTTTTTCTCCGCGCTGCTGAAGCCAGACACCTCATCACTCCATCCAACAGGCCATTCCTGGAACTTCAGCCACACCTCAAAGCCAGCACTGAACTTTCACTCCATCAGATCATTGTTATGAATGTTTTATTCTAGACAGATAGGACGACAGTCAACATGTCCTGTTGACGGGAGTCCAAAGGCTTCACTTCCCAAAAAAAGTAAAAATGGGGTTCGAAAAATAGCCTGAGAGACTTGTTGTGGATACACCTTGTTCTTTTTGAAATGCACAACCTTGGAACAGGAGGATGTGGTCTAAAATTATCAATAGGATCCTATTCAAAATATTTCTGCCATAATTTAATGACATTTCTTCTTTCTTTGGAGTTTGGTGCTTCCCTTCTAGTATCTGGTTTGAAAAAAGAGAAATTGAATCTGAAGTTCAGGTAGTTTCCTCTGCCAGCTCAAATCAAAATAGTTTTTCTCTCAGAATACTTGTTTTCATTTATTCCTCAAAATTCCTTCACCTTTATTGGTGCGATCCGTATAATATCAGATTGACTCTGCAGAAGGTGATGTTAAATGTGGGACCCTATGAATGCTGAGCTTGGAGGGACTGTCTAGGAGGAACGGAACACAAACCATGGACCATCAAGGAACATGCAATTACAATATTGTACCTGGAGGAAAAACAAATCACAGCAAACACACACTGTGGATTATAATTTTGTATTTTTTGGTTTTTCATTATAACTGGAAAAGGAACAGAATATAGTCATATTCTAATACTTTTGTACTGTTACAAAAACCACTTTATTGGAACTGTTGCAATAGAATGAGTAACATTAGTTTAGTGTTTACACGTTCACTTTTCAATTTACTTACCGCAGTTTATTTAATATTTAAATTAATATTTCAGTTACTATCTGTGACGTCCGTCATGCTAAGATGTTGTAGTGCAGACTGTATATCATAGTGTGTATTTTTGACATTAATATTCAAATCTGAAAAAATATACATCTATCTTCTAAAGCAATCTGGACATGCTTTGGTCTCCTTGTTTTCTGTTCTTCATCTAAACACATCTACTCACTGTTATCTAAACGTTTAGAGGGGCTTTTACTGCACTTGGAAGACAACACACAAAAAGTATGAAAGACATGTTGATTTAAATAGAAAAGCTACATTTATTGTTACTACTGATGAAAAATTAAAGGAAAAGTCTGGTCAGCAAGGAATGATCAATGGATCATTATTTATACCTAAAACTAATACGTTTGCAATGATTTAATGAATTTAGTGTCAATCAGTAAAAAAAATAATTTTCGTTGCAATCACTGAGTCTGGGAGCGTCCATTTTTGCCCAAATATAGAAACACCTCGGTTCTAAAATCTTCCGGCAGTGACATCACTGTGCGGTAAGCCTAACGCCATTCTCCCCGCTTTACAAGCAAAATGAATGGGAATGAACGGGAACTAATGGGCAGTTGGATGTACATTGGATAAAAATAAAAAAATATATAGTTATTTCACCTTTCTGATTTATGATCGTCCACGAATGGGTTCATCATTAGATTTCCAACTTGAAGAGGGAGGATTTGCCATCGAATTTCTGTCCAGAGAAAAAACACGTCATATGTAGCCAACATTTAGAAGAAGAATGTTTTCAAGCTGACTCGGATAATAGCGCGTTGTAACAAACACCAGATACAGCACTGGGACTTGATCAACAGCTGATACCGCATCATGACGTCACCAACCAGTAGGTGGCAGTAATGTTCTTTGACAAACATGGATGCCTCCAGCGAAGCACATTCAAATGAATTTACTCTTAATTAAAAACACTTAAAATTAATTGAAAAGAATGTATTAATTTCATATTTAAAGTACTTTTAGAAGTTTGAATTCTGAATATGACCGGACTTCTCCTTTAAATATCAGAGTTGTATGAATGTTTACACACACACACGTTATATATATATATATATATATATATATATATATATATATATATATATATATATATTTGGCATAGCTGTTTTTTTTATTACTTTATAATTTATTGATACATATGGAATAAAAAATATGAAAAAAACCTAAGTAAGTGAAAGAATCTTTAATATTTCAGATTCTTCTAAATATCCCCTTTGATTACTGCTTTGCACATGTTTGCATTCTCTAGAGGTTAACAGTGGTGAATGACACTGTTTTTCACACTACTGTTCTGGTCAGAAATATTTCTAACCTCCATATTTAATCAATTCACTTTTGAGATAGGATGTGGTACATATAGCTTTTATTTTTTGGTTAGTTTTTTAAGAAAGTGGGGTGTTTTACACATATTGAACCCAGTTATTCCAGAAAATATTAATTACATGAATTAATGGTGGGGTCTGTAAACATTTTCATAGTTTTTCATTCACTTTATTTTTTCAGCTTTTATTGTGCTAATGATGTCACAAGTACAGAGCAAAAAACAAAATGAACTCTGCATTTAACCCATCCCCTTGGAGAGCAGTGGGCTGCCATTGTGCATTGCCCAGGGAACAGTGTGGGGTTAAGGCTCCTGATTAGGGACCCAGAGTGGCAGTCCGTGGGAGTGGGGCTCGAACTCAGAACCTCTGGATTCCAAGCTATGCCCTAACCACTAACCCTAACCTCATAATGTTTTAAGGTTATGCATTTTAGATTCTAGAGTCCAAAGTCATCCAAGGATCGATTGATTTGTATTCATGGATATTGACTCTTCTAGCTCCACATGGCAATGCCTGCTGAGAGAATAAAACCTAAACCTCAGTGATTAAAAACACAGCATTCCTACAAAAACGGGTTTCCAAGGGATTTAACAGGTCTTTACTAGTACCAGTACTTTACAATCCATGTTTTTAGCACTAAATGTACTAAAACAGGAGTTACATCACTGATTTATTTTTATTCCTGATCTTGAATTGTGGGATGCGCTTCTGAGTCATGTGCTATCACGAGAAGTTAGAATTTATATAACAAACTCCCAGTACATAAATGTAAAATGTGACGATAATAAAAGAATAATAATAATAAAAAAAAAAAAAAAACAAGCTGTCCTGCTGGTTTAAGGATTAGTGGCAGCACATGCGCCTAACAGCTGATCGGGCTGATGTTACGCAATATGTCAATCTGATCCGCGGCGTGCGCGTGCACCTTTTGAGCCCACGAACGGGAGCGGGGACGCGCATGGTGTCTCCGCCGCATGTGACGTAGAATATTTGGTCCCGGTGTTATGTCCAAAAGTGCATGCCTGCCGAAATATGAATCCCCAGTCATGGGAGCGCGCCTTGCTCTGTTGAACTGCATATCGACGAGGAAAACGGATTAAAATATGTTTAATGGAGCTTAGGTTTTTATATTAATGATATAAACACGTTTAAAAATACCTCTCGTGGGGAAAAAGTTGTGGTTATTTGACAGATTGATTTACAAAAGTACGGATTTTTTGAACAACATTAAATCCAAAGATTTTGACCATGGTACGGCTGATTTATTTGTTGTGGTCTCTTGTTATTTACAAACAACACTAAACCGTGATAGCCGACGTGAGTTTTGAGTTTGCAAAGCTTTCTCTTATGTGGAAAATCAAACGCGCTTCTACACCAAGTACATCCCGCTGCAGCCTGCGGAAAGGCGAGATGAGTTCGCTGGGCGTCAGAAAGCTATGGTGCATTCAGGAGCATTGGAACATTTTAAAC